GTCTATTGTCAGTAAAATATTCGAGTACATGTATGAAGCAGATATAGCAGACTCATTAATGACATATGAGATGAAAATAATTATTGTTAATTGATAGAACGTTGTCAATCTATCGAAATGTTGCACTGAAAAACAAAGAAGAGTTTTCTAGAGAAGAGTTTTCTTTTTCTCATGTAGAAGTTTTTGAATTGAATTCTGCATCATAAGAATACCAAAAATAAGTCGGCTAATAGAGGAGCACAATTAGTGCTCATGAAATATTGACAGATTGTAGGAGGACCTGGTCTACAAAGACCTCCAAAATACATGTATTGTCAATGAGGAATGAGTTGAATTTCCGATCCTTCTTCAATAAAAAGATTTGAAAGTAAGAATTTTCATAAAGACATTCCCCCCCCCTTCCCTTTTCTCTCTATAGACTCCCCTCCCCGTTCTATCGAAAATATAATAAATGCAATTTACTTATTGTCACAAACTACTTAATTCCGATTCTTAAAGCACATACTGTCGCAGATTCGTCGGTATCGGTATATTAGATCGCTTGGAACATGCACTTATGTTCGACAATTTGTTTGATATATTGTTGCTTGTGACAATATTTGCAGGATAAGACAACAGAGGGCGGTAACATATTATGTTTGATTTTACAAAATTACTATATACAGAAAGGAAAAACAAAACCAACGACAGTCCGAATTCATTTAGGGACAAACAGAAAAACACTCCGTTTCTTATAGCAGCCAATAAAATAACAACTGGAATCATGCTTGGATCATTGTTCTTTTAAAAAAAATGTAATCTTATTCATTCATGGGTTTTTATAACTCGAATCAATGTACTTAAAGTCGTCCACTAAAACGAGGTAAAATTCACACATTCAATCCAGTCTTGATGTCTTTTCGAAGCTGGAAAAGGCAAACGATTCAGCCTACACAAATCCCATCTTTCTCTGTTGATATTTGCAAATAAAACATCCCATCTCTCCGACTTAAAAATTATGATGGTTTGTTATTTACACTGTCAGGTCCGAGCCGAGAACAGACGACATTTTGGGAAACCCCATGCAAGTTGGAAGGCGAAAAGTGATTAGTCAACAATGTTCTAGAAAAACATTGTTTACCAATCACCTCGCGCATTTAATTTAAATCTTGGATGCAGTGTTGAAGGAATTTAGTGGGCGACTTAAACGACATCAACTTGCATGACAGGATGTTGGGGTTATACAGATCTTAAACGTTTCGTAAATGATCCTGACTATATTCTTAAAGAATGTTGCCGAATGATTCCAGTTGTTATCCCACTGGCTGCAAGGTATTTTATTGAAAATACGGAGTGTTTTTCAGTTTGGCCTCATTTCATTCGAGCTGACATTGGTTCCCTTTTCCTTTTTGAAAATATAGTAATTACGTAAAATCAAACATAGTATGCTACCGGCCCCAGTGGATAAGACGTAAGCCCAGTAAATATATTGTTTCACCAGCAGAGCAGAGCGAAACTTGCATTGTGGATCATTTTGTCCAGCGTCTGTCTGTCAGTGTGTCACACCTTATATCTCGATAACTGTTAGAGATAGGTATTTGACATTCTCTTATGAATTGCGAGGAACAATGACTTTCTTATATAACCAGAGACTGACTCGTGACCTTTGTACTTGAACTTCGATCTACTTTTCAAAATACTTCATAGTATTACATTCTTTAACCTTTGACAGGTAAATATGCGCTACATGTATTTAGCATGTGCACTGCTTGTTATAAAACATTTTGAAAAATATCAAAAATTTACAGTCTTCCTGACCTTGACCTACTTTTCAAAAATTCGAATTTTGACATAGCATTATAGCTTTAATTCTAGGAAACATTATATATATATATATATATATATATATATATATATATATATATATATATATATATATATATATATATATATATATATATATATAAAGCACTAAAAACCAACAACACTGTATATCCTAAGTGTCGAATCTACTAAGTAGATACAAGGTCACGGATGGAAATTTATATAAAGCACTAAAAATGACCAACGACACGAACAATAATAATTGTCAAATTTTCGGGACAACCTGTCCCTTCCTCAGGATAAAGAAAAAAGTTAAGAAGTCATAAAAACAAAGGAAATAGAGAAGCAAAAACAACTAGCACTACTACTAAACTACCAAACACTAAATATTTACAATGTTACATGTTTAATTTGGAGTTTATAAACAGTTGTGAACAAAGAAATCCGGAGCGCTATGAATTGCGTCCGGTCTATCGGGTGTAGTCTGGTGAAGTGTGGTTTACATAATTGAACGAATTAATTATCGCTAATTCAATTACAGATTTTTCTCGGGGACGGGTGAGATTCACTCCGGAAATCGCAAAGCGCATGCGCCGAATTTTCACTCTAAAATAGTATATTCCGGAGTAACTCAACTATTTCCGATATATAAAACTTTTTTTCGTAACAATTATGCTGAAATAACTCAAAAAAGTATTTTATTATTTAAAATAATGCATACTCCTAACTGAGTCAACTCTACATTTTAAGAGGACGATAGTTTAATTCGGGGGGGGGGGGGGGGGGGTAGCGTAGCGGGGTGTTTAGATTATTTATTTATTTTCAAACTAGAAGATTGTTTATTTCCAAGATATTTAGGGACGAATTATTTATGTTTAACAGTTAAAGAAGCAAATAATAAGAAGAAAAGGAAAAAAACAGCCTTACTCCACAACTCTATTTGGGGGAGGGGTACCAACAGGCAATAAAAAAAAATAATTATATATATGAAAAAAAATATTAGATAGATAATTAAAAAAAACAGACTTACTCCACAACTCTCTTTTGTGGGGTGTGTGTAGTTTGGTAGTGGTGGTTGTCGGGGGGGGGGGGGGGTTACCAACAGGCAATGAAAAAAAATTCTTGCCAGCTGGGGAAAAATTATCTATTTCCAACATTACCATATGTTTCAAAAAACTAGCAGCCCCCCCCCCCCCCAATATATGGTCGTCCTCTAAACAATCTGAATTTGCAAATACATTTTATTTAGTACCTCACAAATAAATATTGTAGGTTGTCATCTTTTCATTTTGAACAAACAAATTTATACTTTGCAAGCATCATGGTAAATGTATTTTATTTTTGCCATGGGTAGGTGTATTTGTTTGCATGTGTTTATGCATGTTTGTTTTGTAAAAATGAAAAGTACTGTAAATAAATGTACAAGAATACAGATAAAAACTGTGTAACACTATTTTAATACTAACTTTTATATTACGTGTACTACAGAATTATAATAAAAACTCATGTTTGAAAAATTTACAAGAAGAAGTCCCAGGCTTTCACATATTTTAATCTTTATGTGAATTGTTCAAATATTAAACAGCAAACATTGAGCCAAACATTTGTATAAGCAGTATATCAATTTACCTTGATAAAAATAACTCAGAATAATCATAATTTAATTTCATAATATTTTTATTATGACAACATACATGTACATGCTGAATAAAAAGACATATGAAATCAAACTTTAAAATGTTTTATTCTTAAAATAAAGGTGCTAATTGTACTAGTGATATTCTTTACACTCATACAAATATGCACATGTATTTAGTTTATCCTGCATTTGTTTATAAAAGTGTCTGCCTATTATATCAGTTTATTCAATAAGATTTTCAAATTATAGACAATAAATGTTAACTAAACAAAGTTTTTTGAATGATCTATGTACAGGCATGGGCATGTCATAACACATGAGATATAAATATTTGACTTACCCAGATATAATCAGCTTACATTCTTATTTGCTTTAATAGGAAAAATGGGTAAAAAATGTTCTCAGATATTGGATGAGGTAAAAAAAAAAATGAATCAGAATCTTTTGAAAGATATTGATAATAATTATGTAAATTAATAATTAAATAATTTTGTAAATTTATGTACATATTGATAATAATTATGTAAATTAATAATTAAATAATTTTGTAAATTTATGTACATGTTGTTTTTTTAATTCACATCTTATGAAGCAGGTTAAACTACATTATAAGGTAACTTTCAAGAGTACTAGCTGTCTGGGCTTCATCATTTAAAATAGTTAAAAAACGTTTTTTCTTTCTTTTTTTTCAATAAAGAACCTTTATGCATGCACCAAAAGTGCTAAAATAACAAACCAAAATAAAAAGGGACGCCCATGGGCCATAACTCTCACAAAGTCATATTAGCCCTGTTCTTCTGAAGAACTTTAAAAAAAAAAAATTCCTCGTTATTCCCATAAAAAAATTTTGACCCAATATGGTGACCCTACCTTCGCCCCGAGGGATTATAATTAAACTAAATTTAAATTCACTCAAAATGGAAGGACTTCATTATCAAACTACATTGTACATACTGGATATGTACATTATCAATATACATGTAACTAAATTGACCTTATTGTAGAAAAGAATGTTTTAAAAATGTTATTTCATTTCATACACTATTTTAGCCTCAACCTTATCCAAGGATCCATAATTTGACAAAAAACAAAAAGCCAAAGGACCTTAGTGGTCACCCAAGTTTTTCATTATCGTTGTTGAATAATCAAAGGGGACTAACTTCTCTCAAAGTTGAGTGAAAATACCCTACATAATCAATTGTGCATTTCCAAGGCAGCAGAAACCCTGACCCTGTGGTTATGAATTTTACATATGTGGTAACAACACCCTTGCTCATTACAACTTTTCAATTGATTTGCCTGGCAAATGCCTACAGAAGAGAGAATAAGATTTTCAAAAATTTAATGCATTTTCAATATACGATGAGGACAGCCATGCCTCAAGACCACCCTTCTCCCCGAATTTTTGCTTTTTCATGATTATCACTGCTTCCAAGAAGGTATAGTCCTCTAAATGAAGAAACTGAATTTCCTTTACTCAAGGATGCCTTGTGCAAAGTTTGGTTGAAAATTGATGTTCTGGAAAACAGTTCAAATATGTGAAAAGATATAAAGAAATACATTGACAACAAAGGACAGATTTCAATCAGAAAGGCTGACACTTCACCCTTTGGTTCAGGTGAGCTAAAACAAATGAATGCTAAAAATTACTGGTACTTCAAACATGCTTTTAAAATGTAAACATTAACTAATTAAGTTCTCTCTTGTAAATGTCAGGATAAGGAAATCTGATAAAGATTGGCAATAATCTGAGGGTATGAAAGGAACTCCTCATCACCCAACAAAACACATGATCCTGAGATGAATTCCTGCACTGCCAGCTTAACCAAATGAGCGATGGCCTAAGGCAAAAGTCTGTCTACCATTGCCAACCTGCTACTGGACTTAATGCACAAGTTATAGGTCCATTTCTGAGTGCTTCTAGGGTTGCACACATGAAAAGAAAAAGAAAAGATATTAACTACAAGAAATGCTAATCACAAATTATGCATTCAATATATTCTAACTTTGTAAGTTGTATATTTTGCTTTCCTAATCAACAAGATGTTCAATAAATTAAGATTTCTTCTGCTTGAAGCCTTTTCTTACTTTATAACCTAATTTAAGATTAAATTCAAAGATTAAAATAATAATTTCACAAAGCACTTCATTTATTCGAATTAGAGTCTCGGTGAAGATTGTTATTTGAATTTATATAAGTGACTCCTTTAGCATGTGTAGTGAATATCAAGACTGAAGTTTTACCATCTTTTGTCTTCAATTTGATCCTCCTCCCAAATCATTGATAGTGGCACTCTCACCCTCTGCTGGAATCCAAGCTGACCATTTACCCTGCAAATTAAAACACACACAATTCTGAGCTTACTTTGACCTCAATATCAAAAAGAATCTTTTGTAAGTCATAGGTAACTATTTAAATTTCACATTAAAGCTGGTTTAAGAAGGCTCTTAGGGATATCATTTAGAAATTCAGGTATTATATATGTATATATAGTTATATACATATATATATTTACAATTGCAAATGTTTTCCTTTATATAATACTATTTGAAGAAGACGTACTGTAAAAGTATTATATTTAGCATGTATGATATTTAGCGGAAATTGATTTTTGAACAATTTAGCACAGATTTGAATTAGCACATTTTTAATGTTCTTATTTATGTGTAATATGTTTACAGTACTTAATTCTGTATACAAATAGGTTTGTCAATTATGACCATAAATTCATTGTCATAAAGGATTGACATAATTTTACAGTGATGTCATAAGCAGTCAACTTGTTCACACATTCAATTTATACCATTGAAGTTTGAAAAAATAAATCATTTCATGGATTTAAAACTTAAGTGTGCAAACAATTGTTATAAATCGGTCCAGCATGTAAAAATAAGTAATAAGGTATCATTTTAAAATTTATATCATGATGTAAATTTGGGTTGGTATATGATCAAATCTACCATAAGGGATTTGATCCATATTTTACATTATGATAAAAAATTCAAAACAATACCTTATTTCTAAAGTGTAACAGATAGACTGACAGACAGATGGATAAACCCAAATTAATATCCAATGCTTTCAATAAAATCATGGGCCAATTAGCTGATTTTAATGGCCTTTTCAAAGGTATTGCTGGCAAAAAAGAACCATATATTAGATCTTATTGAATCTCATTACAAATTATGTTCATAAAAAAGACTTATAATATCATGATGATACTTTTTTTCAAACATGATCATCAAATTACCTCCAAGTGCAATAATTTCATTCAATAGTATACAGTTATGGAATGGGTATGAGGGAAATAGCAAATTTATGGTTCCCCGAGGGAGGAAACTATTTTTCACAGTGACTTTTTCGTCTGTGAAGTTTGGGGAAATTAGCCTGGTAGGATAGCTACTCGCTTTTTCTACTGTAATGCTAAATTGGCAAAGAGAAACAATTCCGATTAAAGTTGAACGATGTTTATTGTAAAGTCAGCAGATAGAAAGTGAATTTTATAAAAGTTGTTACACAAAAAAAATAATAATAAACAGTACAAGTAATTATCGAATAAACAATGTCAGATAAGTAAATAACTTTTGAAACAACCTGTAGCGAAACCCGCTAAGAGAAGGTACGATTACTAAAACAACAAATAAAGATCGATCGGTTACGTGAAATCAGTCATGCATAGCGCTTACCAAAGTTTTTATAGTTACAAAAGTTAAAAACCAAAAGTAGACAATAAAATCAGAAAACTTACAAACATTTGACTCCAAAGACAATGTTTACAAAACTTCGGGAAAATTTAGTTACCTTCTCTGACTAGAGAGTTCCGAACAGGGGACATAATTCATAAGCGGTAAAATTAAATTGCCAAAAATTTATAAAAATAGAAAAATTCCAAAAACGCTATTTCGTGAACAATTCAACATAGAAATGATTGCTAATAATGTAATTATATAATTCTAAACATTACTTGAACATTAGATGAAACAAGCAATTTGAAATTAATAAAACATTTCAGATATTTAAAAAAATGAAGTGTAAGTCAAATGAATAACATAATTTATCCTAATTCCGTATCAAAAATACTTTATGGGAAATCATTACAATATTAATTAAAAATAACTATAATGAAATTAAATCTAATCTTTAACTTTCAAATAAAATAACACAAGCTTACCTAAATTGGCAAAGAGAAACAATTCCGATTAAAGTTGAACGATGTTTATTGTAACGTCAGCAGATAGAAAGTGAATTTGCTAAATTCACAATCTATCCGGACTCTACATCGGAATTGAACTCTTGACCAATCAGGAAGCTTGTTACAAAAATTACTACAGGTAAGTCGGCAATTTCTTTTGATAAGCTTGACACCGATTACTTACATTATCAAAGAGCCGAAAGGTGATGAAGTCAATTAGCTAAATTTCCGTTTTGAGTTTTTTTAACAATAGGAAGATTAGGTGAAGCCGAAACAAAATAAACAAGATTCTAAATCGTACAATTAATTTAATACCTGTGACATAGCAGTGTGTCAAGCCAATCTCGCAAAGAATTTGCCAACAAAAAGGCCGAAATAAAAAAGAATTTTACAGTTTATTTAGTAGATAAAATAATTGTTTCACAATCTGTCATGAGTAAATTGATTTCCGAAAGGTGACAGATTGCTCAAATTCCGCATTTAATGGATTCAAGAAAGCGTATATTTTTTTGTGATACAGAAAAATAAAAATTGAAATTATTTTAAGAAAACTTGATGAAATTAAACAAAATTGAAATTAAGAAAAAGGAAATTAATTTCATAAAAATTTAAGCAAATTTAAAATGTCAAATTGTAATGAATTAAAATTCATATAATATAACCTGTTACATTAAAGTTTTAGAATTCATAGAATTTAAAACTAACTATAACAATCTCCCCCCTTGCCTGAAAAAGCTTTGTCCTCAAAGCTAATTTTTTTTTTTAAATATTTTTTTTTTTTTACACTAAATCTATATTGGCAGTTTTAACAATATACATGTGATGTAATTGAAAAACATGAAATTGAAAAGAACAAAAGCAGAACAAAATAAAGACATGTGATATCAAAAATCAATAGATACAAATATTTACAAATGGAGAACCTTTCTTTGAAGACATTTGCTAAATATAAGAGATATTTAACTAAAAACATAAATGCATACAATACAAAGTTTTGATATTTACAACAATCATTAAAAAAAATGAGGCATAATATATACAAGCTTAAATGGATAGCTTTCAATTTCATTATCTTTTATAAACATTGAACACTTTCAAGATAATCATATTCATAGATGAATTTACAACACCACCAAAACTAACATGTAATGCACAAAAACATCTTGACAGTACCAAGTAAAAATGCACACATGTAAAACTGACATGAAATATGACAATGTAAAGAAAGATTATAGATTGTTATAGTTAGTTTTAAATTCTATGAATTCTAAAACTTTAATGTAACATATTTCCCGAGGCGGCGAAGCCTCAAATAATTAATAAATTTATAATCCAGCCTTGTATTTTCCCCAATTTTGAGATAATGGGTTGAAATATTTTTTTCTTTAAATATACTTTCTTTCTTTATTGAATAACTTTAAGCCATACGACCCATCTGCATAAGCAAAATAAACGTATGTAATTGTGAACGCATGGCGAGTGTCTGCATGGGGTGGAACCCCTAGTGTTCATCTGTCCAATCTAGGATGAACTGAATTAAAATATTAGTTTGCTTTGAATTATGAGAGTAAACTATACTTTATAAGTTGTGATTTTGATATCTTATGTCAAAGGAGAGTCATTCCCTCCATTATAACTTTTGCAGAGTATGCAAAACTCCAGCTCAGTATGAGGACCTGGAGAAAAATGCATATTTCATTAATATGACAATTTTTAGTGAACTAGTCTTGGAGCAATAGGTCATCATTCACAGAAAACTGCATGGATTGAAGAGATTCCTGTGTTTTGATTAAAATGTTTGTCAATTGCTATGATTATTTTACCAAAAAGGGATGAAATAAGTTCATTTGTTTATTAGTGGAAATTTGAAAGGTGAAAAATTTATATTGTACTTTGTACTTGCCTACTTATCTTAACATGAACTTGCCAACATTGAACCTAGTAAAGGGGTCCACATCTATGGTAACATACATGTATGTTACGTTTTCCAAAAAAGAAAAAAGAAATAAAATTAAGAAAAAAATAAAATAAAATTTATCCCTCAGATTGATAACTAATATAACATGTGATATTACTTTAATAGTTCAACAGCTAGTCTCAACATTGAATTATTTATAAATAAAATAAAAACAGAGAGATAAAAAAAATTATTCATTGCATTATAAATGTAAAATATTCTTTTGCCAGATTTTTCACCAAGGATTCTTTCCTAACCTTTTCTTCTTCCCCTTCACACCATCCTAGCTTTTTACAAGCCCATAGGTTGGGGTTGTGTGTGTGTAGGCCTGGGAGGGGGGGTCATCCTTCACTCTTCTTTCACTCTTTTGGAGAAAGTTATATATATTTTACTATGTAAATTTTCATTAAAGATAATCCCCCCCCCCACGCTATACATATGTAACCTCCCCCCCCCCCGGCCACACACACACAATAATTTAATACCTATACTGTTTCCAATAACAAATATATATATTATAACGTAAATTAGAAACGCTTTTACTGAATAAGAAGTAGGAATTGTTCACTTACGATCAGTTTAAGAAGAGCGCACATTGATTGATTGAGCTTTCTTCTATTCATGGACGCCGCCATGTTGACTTGGGTAATTATGATCGGGTCTGAGGTTTAGAATTTTGCGCATGCGCACTTTTAGTTCCGGAGTGAATCTCACCCGTCCCTGAGACACCATTAATTACGGCCAACAGTAAATCGTACATTGTCTTATTCTCTCAAAATAGCGTAACTCTACATGATAAAAAGAAATTAAAGAAAGATAATATGGAAGGACAATTTTGAAATATGAATTTGGATATATTATAAATTTGGAAATCGGAAAAAAGAAATAAACAAAAATGTATAAACAAAAATGTGAGCTGTAAATATTAGGGTACAGGCTGAAGTCATTCCGCCCTAATGGTATTAACAAACTTAATGACTTCACCAGGATGAACGTGAACTAGACCCAATCCCGGATTGTAACAAACAAGTTCATTCTCTCTATATAGTGTAAACTTTACCGTTAATTCGTATTAGTAATCCTGGAACAACCTACCCTAATATTTACAGCGAATAGAAATAAATCGGGATCAGTATAGCGATCTGGGTTTGTAGTTCAAGCAAAGTTGTAGCAAATATGAGCAATTTTTAAATTAGAAGATTACATATTTATGTATTTGTGATACTTTTTGGCTCTACTGGTAGGAGGCCAGAAGAGCTTATGCGGTAGTAAGGTGTCCGTCCGTCTGTTTGTCTATAGGTAAATAATTTTTCAAAATTCCTCCTACAGTTTTCAATATAACTTGGCACACAAGAAGACTACACTAAGATACATAAATCGGTGTTTTATTTTTTTTATTTCAAAGAACGGTCTTGTCATGGTCACTTAAAATAAAAATTTCTGTGATATTCTTTCAAAATGCTATTTCTCCTTTAATTTGATTTGTGAAACTTTCTACACAGGTTGATTTCACTAAAATACATACTTTTATTTATTGGTTTTATTGACATAGCACACTGTGTTGCCGTGGTTACTAAAAATAGGAATTTCTGTGAAATTCTTTCAAAAGGTTACATCTACACTTTTTGTCTGATTGCAATTAAGCTTGCCTCATAAAGATCGAGGATCAATATTCTATTTATTGTTACTGCCGTATTTTCAGTCCAAGTGCTACCTTTCTCGTCCTTTGTTAAACGTACAGACCAGTAGAGCTACAGTCTTGTCAGCGAATTCATTTTAGATTTGAGGATTGGAGGATCATACATTTTCTTGATTGTCACATTTCATGATAAATACTATTCTATCGCTTTCTTTGTATGATCTAAAAATGCTAGTTTGCAAATAAAAATTGAAAACACTCTACGTTCATGTTTTAATGATGAAGCAGGCGACATTTACATTGTAATACAAACAGCCGTTATGTAGAAATTTGAATCGTGTTTTGATTCTAGTGATGCAAGTCGGCCAAATATACCAAACATTTGAAAAGTGGGAAGCTCAGATATTGAATTAAGATCGATACACTGAATCAAGTTCACAGATGTATATAGAGTTATTTTGTTTGGCTATAGCATTACTTTTCGAATTTTTAAAATGATTAAATTTTGTTCTGGCGTAAACATATTAAATATATACATGTAGTCTTCTTATTTTTAATGTTAACTTCATCTATTGGCAGATATTCGATTCCATTTTCTTTCTTTAACCCGATATGCATCAGAATAATCAACATTCAAAACACTGAAATTACATATATTGACGTGCATAATATTATGCTTTTTTGACATTATTGACTCTCAAACAGTTAAATAATTGTCAATGTTGGCATGGATATATGTGCACTCTGAGTGTGAGTACATATTTTCGGTCGGATATTGTTTTATTGTAGTACAGTGTGGGTTCAAGAAAACCAATGAATATAAATTATCTTTACGGCATGGAGATTTCACAAAAATGAAAATACTGCTTGACGAAAATAGGAATGTTACTTTTTAAAATGAAATTTAAAGTAATTTAAATTTTAATGCACAAATTTCATTTAGACGTATCACAAGTGATTGTGAAACTTAGTTGCCAAATGTGACTTGTGATGATTAATTATTATAGTCGAGAAGTATCCTTGGGCGAAAGTTTGTTTAAAATTAAGCTTTTCTCCAACATTCATAACATGAATATACATGTGATTAACTTTTATAAGCTGTCTTTTTTCATTCAGAAATCAAGTCCATGTAAATGTTTCACCAGGTTCCAATACTCGGTATATACGCGCATTTATACATATATATGACAATAGATAAAGCAAAAATAAGTCAGCAGTAGAGTTAACATAGAAAAAATAATAGTCTTTTTTTCATAAATCAACATGAATTAAAGATATGTGCTTTTAGTACTCATGTCATTCCAGCTTCAAAATGCACAAAAATTTTAAGTGTTTGTGTGTGTGCCAAATTTCTAATTCAGAAATTCTTTCCTCTAAACATATAACGTGAAGGTGATAAAATTTATAGAAATTTCGAGTTATTTATTTAACTTTTATTATATTAGACTTACTTCTGTTTAGTTATTTTATTTATTTCATTTTGTCAAACGAATTTAGCAGTACAAATATGGTAATTCTAATATTGCCTTTCAACATGTAGTTTGGAGTTGGCTTGATTTATATTTCATCACATTTAAAGAATTGGTCATAATATCTTTTATAATCATTTTAATATGTAATTACCTTCGTGTGCGACTGACAGGTTAACAAAATGTTCAATAACAGTATTTTTTTCAATCAAATACAGTCGGTTCTTTTGTAAGGTCGTGCAAACCTTTCCACCATTTGTCATCAAGTTGGAGAGAGTCTCAGAAGAAAACATGAGTATACTTAAAGGAAACCTTGAAATACGATGGATTCCGTACATCATGGTTGTTTACAATACTTCTTTGTCTTTGTGTCCATCATACTGGACATTCATGTGGGATGAAACGTATTACCGGTTTTTAACCATAAAATTCTGGTAAACTCATTAATCACGGCCGTCATCTTTAGGAATGCATGAGAACTGACCGACGTATGAGAAACTTGTCATAATGTGATGATTGTCACCTTACATCAAACGTTTGTAAGACTTTGTTGGTCATGTCTTCACACAGTTAATCACACATTTGATAAAAATAAATTTTTGCAGAATATATATGCATTTTAACATATTTTAAAGTCAAAAACCCTAGCGATCTCGTCTTTATCTTTCGTTTATTAAGACAAACCCTCTATCACATTACATGTATATTTTTTTTTCTTTTTCCATGACCTCAACTAATAAAAGGGAAACAGAAACTTATTCATATGGTAACAGGAACTACTGAATTTGTTTTCTGTGTGCATGATCATGTAATATAATAATCATAGAAAATTTTAGTTTTATGGAAATTATCCTGTCTTTTAGGCTGCATTAGTACCAGTCAGATGAGCCGATTGATCGTGTATACGTCGGTAATGTGAAGAATTTGTGAAAAATTTAAAGAGAAGATTAATTCTGTTCTGATTAATGTAATAGTAAGCGTATGTAAAACACTTCTTTGCAATAACATTTATTGAAGATTACAAGACAGATCATGAGTTGAGATGACATGTACAAGTACATGACAAAGCGGTAAGTAATAAAACCCTGGTTCTGTAAATCAACCCGTACTTTACAGAACACAAGTAGTGACGTTTTTATTGAAAACACGATCTTTTCTTCATTCAATGTCTTACATGCAAGCATTATGTAACATCAAGGGACAAAACTCTGAGAGGCCTCGTGTACAATGTGGCAGTTCACGCCTGATTGGTCGCTGTAGGTTTGTCAGTACCAATCAAACGCCAATAATCCCATCATCTGCGGTGAAGACCTTTACGACGTAACAACTGTAAAATAGTAATGTACATCTCGTTTAACGTGCGTAAAGTCTAAATAAACTACAATCCTAGTATCAATTAAGGTAATATATTTATCAATTATCAGTGTCTCGCGAATCGTAAAAAGCTAGTTAAGGAGATCAAACTTTATTCCGGGAAAAATACGTAGCTTCACCTGAGGAGTTGCATAGAAATATCATTAAAATGACAGCAAGTCAACCGCGGGTTATCAGAGTCTTTAATGATCATGGAGATCATTTAAAATACAACATAAATTGTTTAGCAGATTCTAATTGTGACATGCTTTTAATTACTCAATTTTGATCTATTGTTTGCGGTGAGGAAAATGAAAACGTTATGTCAAGGTAACAATTACGAAACATTATTATTTTTTTTAGAAAACATCCTTGATAACACAATTAGGTTTTGTGTGGTATTCTTTGTTTCTTCTTTGCCTTCAAACACTTCATTTTAAATTGAAAATTTGATATTTTAGCCCTGTAATGATGTTCGTCAAAGTAAAGAAAATGTACATTATCATCATACAATAAATATGAATACACAATAGACAAGTTACATTATGAGTTTTGAAAATGACTCCATACAAGGAAAATCCGAACCCATATTTATTACCATATTTATGATATTCTATTAGCGGTCGTTTTTGGAAACAGAGGACGTAAACGTGAACAGCTGAGGACCTTGATTGCTGTGCATTGCATTCTTTGTAATCGTATTCACTTCTAAAAAAAACTATTTTTTTTTTTTTACAGAATGCTATTTCGTGCTATTGGTATGTGGTAAACACGGGGGCCCCATTTGTCACCAGACTTGTCAAATCTCCTCGTTTGATGTTTCTGTCCCACAAGTCAGGAAAAAGAAAACCTTCTGACGTTGATATATACCTAGAGAAAGTCGAACAGAGAAAAAGTGTGTGAACGTCTTCAAAATCTAGATGTAATATTATCTAGCGAGTCTGGAAGAAAAGAATGTTATTCTATCATGTATATCTGTCAAGTGTTTATAAATAAGATACAGTATTTGACACTTTAAAGATTCTTTAATATAAATCCGTTTATTTATTTATTTTATAAAACAAAGTACTTTACAGTAAAAAAACATCCTTCAAATAAATCCCTTTATTTTTTTTCAATATCAATATAAGAGGCACTTCCTAAAAACTTGCACAATATCTATATTTCAAAAATAACGTTTCAACTTA